TCGAGCCCCCTCCCCGTCCGCCTTAAAAAAATCAAAGTTAGAAAAATGCACTTAAACAATTTGGTTCATATATTTAACAAAAAGAAGACACAACAAAAACTTTGTTAGGCAGTGTAATTATCAAATATTGTGTTTCGTACCTAATGAAGGTAGTTGTCTCTCCAACCTTTCACAATGAAAGGAATGAAAAGGAACGAACCATGCTGAGGCATGTACATGGTTCTGACTTCTGCGTAAATAAATCACTATACTAAAATGACACAAGTTATGCTGAAGTTTCACAAATTAATCAAGAAAAAGTAGATGAGAAAAGGAACACCCTATATTCAACAATAGCAAGGAACGAGCAAAAGAAAAGGCATTCACATTTAAAATGACCGATCCGGAAAATTTTGAACGATTTTAATCCATGTTGAGCAATCAAACTCAAAAAAATCATTTTTTCAGTTCTAATGATGGATGACTAATCAAAAGCCAACTGATCATGCTAGGTAAAAAGGATCAATGAATTAAAATAACGACAGCCACCCCTCTGCTTAACTTCTTTCTCACTAAAGCTCATATCACGCCCCGAGCCTACACCCTGGACGTGGCCGGCACTCGAAGACCATTGCTGGCCCCCGAGCGAACCCTTGGCCCAGCTTTCTTAACTCAGCGGAAACCTAACTCAACAGAATAACTTAATGCCATGCAAAGACATAAAACAACTTAACTGATAAAAATCTGGCCAAAAAGGCAACTCGAGTCTCAAAATAGAATATTTACACATATACATAGATGAGAGACTCGAAACTAACTGACTGACTGTCTATGAAACCTCTAAAATACAGAGATGGATGTTGGGACAGACCCCGCAACACCCTAATAAAACAAAACTAAGAACACAAAATAATTGAGTCCTCCGGAATGCAAGGAGGCTCACCACTGACTCTGGAGTGCTCAGCTGGATCAACGACATGCTAGATGCTGATCCTGGGTACCTGTGTCTGCATCACAATAAGATGCAGGCGAACTGACATCAGTACATGGAATGTACGAGTATGCGAGCTGGAAAACTAAGCAACATAGGCTAGAAGGAAATCTGGAGGAAACTGAAAAGCTTACCTGGCCTAACTCAACTCAACCTGACTGACTTCTTTCAATATAAGGCAATTTAAAACAAATGCGATATAAAGAAAGACTGTTTAAAACCTGCTATAAAATCATTGTGTATACAAAGATACAACAAGCCTGAGATGTATATAGAAATACAAATGAACTGATGTATATAAAATACAATAACTTCTGTGTATGAAAATACAATAACTGCTGTGGGAGTTTCTCTAACCGACAACCATCACATGGAGCTATAGTGATGATACAGCGATCGACCTCACGCTGCCAGAGCATCCTATACCCGGCCAAAGGTATAAGACCTGAACTGCCTAATGGATCCACTAGTCTATCTGGAAAAAGCATTCATCTAAAAAAGTATGATCATTTTCTACCCATGGTGGCTAGCATGGTTCTATGGGGGCTGTGGGTTCCTTAAACGCTCCCCCAACTCGGTGCTCGATACTACTCCCAAAATATACTGGCTCTTATGTTTTAAAAAAAACAATATGTCTTCCTGCTGATTGAGATTAATTACTTCAAAAACTAGCCCGAAGGCTCTTTGGAAATCTCAGTTTCCAATCTTGTTTAAATGTGAAAACATTTCTTTTAAAACTTCTTTGGGAATACATAGTTCCCTAATAACTTTGAGAAATGAACTCAACTTTATGTTCTTGACTTAACTTGAAACTCGAGACTCTTTGCTTGACTTGAAACTTGAGCCTTAAAAATGAAGTTAAAACGTTTAACAAAGACTCTTGAAAA